ACAGTTTTTAAAATTTAATAAAGCAATAAATATTGAATATTTTACTAAGGCGATATATAGTATAACGTCTCGTCTTTAATAATATATAGAGCAACTCTCTCTTAGACTTAGTTCTAACATCCTTTCAGACTAAATCTATAATTTTACAGACAATGCAAATATTATTAATTCTTGTTCAATGGTCAGGTACATTCTGGAACTTTCTATTGGTCACTCTCTCGTCACGTTTTATGACGTCATGTTCTAGAATATTACATTTCGATAGTATATATAAATGAGAGGTCGTTCGCTGTTAGTTCATTTGTACCGCACTCGACTTAAAATCGTAATAGAATTTGATTTCAATCTTAAAAGAAGACATTAAACATGACTGATGAATTCAATCGATATTATATCAAAATTCGAGCTATTTTGGGAATAGATTCAAAAACAACCTTTGACGAACTTACAGAGGCATTGGCACCTGATGCTCCATCATATCCAACAGTCAGAAGATGGGCGAAACGTTTTCGTGAAGGAAGAGACGATGTCACTGATGATCCTCGATCTGGTCGTCCGATTTCGGTACTTACAGATGAAAATGTTGAACGCGTTCGACAAGTTATCGAAGATGATCCACACTCAACTTATGATGATATTATGGGTGAGACTGATCTATCACGTGGTACAATAGAACGAATTATTCATGATCGTCTAAAGATGAGAAAAGTTACATCACGTTGGGTTGCTCATCAACTTACTGACGAACAAAAACAAAAACGACTTAGAATTTGTCGTCAAAATTTAGAGAAATTTAGAAATGGAACATGGCATTTATGTGATGTTATTACTGGTGATGAGACATGGATTTATCACAGGCAGATTGGTCGAAAGTCAAGCAATGCTACTTGGGTTGGCGAAAATGAACTACCAAGAACCATTGTTCGTCGGAATAGATTTGAACCTAGAACACTATTTTGCTTCTTCTTCAAATCCACTGGTTCTCTTCTCATACACAAAGTAGATAAGGGCAAGACAATCGATCATGACTACTATATTGATAATTGTCTTATAGCTGTTATCAATGAAATAAGAAAAAAGGAAAAGTCATCACGTACTACATATAAAATGCTTCATGATAATGATCCTCCTCATACTCATCCAGATGTTATTGATTATTTAATGGAGGAAGGAATCGAAATCATTCCACATCCACCATATTCACCAGATCTCGCACCGTGTGACTTTTGGCTAAATGATTATATCAAGAACAAGTTGACGGATCACACAAACGAAGAATCATTAGCTCAAGAGGTTTCCACCATAGTGAAGAATATTCCAATAAACGAGTTTAAAAAGACTTTCGATAAACTGTTAGAAAGAATGAAACTTTTTATCGAAAATAATGGTGATTATTTTGAGCATTTAATAAAATAAAATAACGAATGTCTCTTCGTTTCTGTATTGTGGTTTTATGTTGGCATGATCTTTTCTTGGCTATAAATACTATAGATTTAGTCTGAAAGGATGTTAGAACTAAGTCTAAGAGAGAGTTGCTCTATATATTATTAAAGACGAGACGTTATACTATATATTGCCTTAGTAAAATATTCAATATTTATTGCTTTATTAAATTTTAAAAACTGTGATCAGAACTTTTGGTATACCCTAAGTATAGCAGAAATGCAAATAATTATTCTGCAGTCAATAATTATAATCAAAATGGATCACTTAAACGTAAGAAATTCAAAAATTGAAATATGTAAAAGAAAAAGAAACTGTATATATAAAATTTTGAGGAGCAATGTCTATTTCATTTATAATGAGAATGCGTGGCGTACCATTTGAAGCTGGTGAAAAAGAAATTTTTGATGTACGAATATTATTTTTCTTTTTTTTTTTCTATTTGCAAATGAATTTTTCTTTCTTTTAGTTCTTTAGTCCTGTTGTACCAATCCGACTTGAACAAGAAAATACTCCACGTGATAAGCCACCAATATGGTATACAGAATTTGGTTCACGTAAAGAAGCAACTGAAGCAATGACATAAATATTTTATTTTAATTTGTAATCGGAAATTAATTTTTATGTATTGTAGATTTCATAAAAAAATATATGGGAACACGGTATATTGAATTATTATCATTATATGATGATATTAATCAATCAAAAATGATTCGTATTTAAACAGAATATTTTAATTATTTATTCTATGATTTATACAAACATCTTCTGTGCTTATTCTTTATTATAAACATTCGTTTTTCCTTTTTTTTTTGTTATTCGTTTATTACCAAAAGAAAATAATTTGCGAAAAGTAACGAAAATTTCATTTTTTCTTTGATTTAGTTCATGTAACTGTTATTTATTCAATCGGTTCATAACATACTGCGAAAAAAAAAAAAATTATATCGTCCTATGTTTGATATCGTACCGTTTTTTTTTATAATGCGTGTCTATGTTTTAATATCCATGCATTCACACAAAGGCAAACAATTAATAAAAGCACAATTAGAAAGAAAATATTCTACGGCAACAAAAACAATTTGTCTAAAAAATTTGATTGTGGTAATTAATATATGACTTGAATGATTAGGTAATACTTATATAATCTAAGTTATAAATTGATCATAAGTGTAACTTTTCTTTTTCCTTTTCTTAAGCTTACAGAGTTATTCCTATATATATATGAATTATAAATTATATATCAAGAATATTTTATATTTTTCTTTTTTTTTTTTCTACATGATCATAAGAATGACTATCTATCGATGATTTATAATTTAAATCTAAAGAAAATTCTTTTTCCTTGTCTTCGTCTAACAGTAAAGTGTCCTATGGTTTTTCTTTTATTTCCCAACTCGTGTGCAATTCAAAATAATGTGAGTAAAAGATTCATGGATAGACGAGAAAAGCAATGAATAATTAGTAGAATGTGACAACGAAAACAGTTGACATATCTACAAATATGATAAAGTCGATCGAGGTCAATGTCAATAAAATCTCTCAAAGAAATGTTCGATATTGGTAAAATGACAATATAATTGATGTTAAGTTTCAAATGTAAACAATAACGCTTTTTTTTGTTAACAATTAATGATAGAAATCAAAAAAGAAAAATTTGAACCGATTTTTTTTTGGAAATATATTCAAGATTTTAATGAAAAATAAGATTATTATAAAAATCATAGAATAAAAGTGATATGAAAATAATATAAAAAAAAATTGTTTTTTTTTTTGTCTATAGATTAATTTTGGAAATTTACAAACATGATGAAAAGAACATCACTTGCATCGCCAATGTATGATATTGCTAAGGGAGATAATATGACGTAGGTTAGTCATACAATAATTTTCCATAGTCATTCATTGAGATTCAACACGATTGGAAAAGAAATGAAACTAATAACACGAACCGAAATTGTTTTTTCTCTTATATGAGACTGATTTGGTTTATTTTTTGCTATCATGCTATCAGTAATGTATTAGAGCGTAAAACTTTTCATATGCTGCACTGATTTTAAATGTTTATTAGAAAAAAAATATTATAGAAATAATTAAATATTTGTATTTTTTAAATAAGTGAAAAAGAATTTTTACGTAGTGTGTTTATTATCGATCAAACCAATGAATACTATTTGAAATATTAGGAAAACTAGAAATTTTGGTAAAGCAAAATAGTTCTTAAAGAACGAAAGATTAGATTTGCTATTCATTAGAGATGGCGATAAACTTTTAATATTTATAAAATTTAGGACAAACTTTCTTCCACATTTCATATATGTAATACATAATTGCATACATATATAGGATGAAACCATTCTTCTTACTCAAATATATTTGTTTTTTTAAATATTAATCATATTCACGAAATTATTCTAAATAGAATTTATAATGAGAATAAATAATTTTTGCAATTTTGTTCGACGATGAAAAAATTTTCAAGTATATGTAAAAATAATCAAAGTACAAGTTTTTTGCAGTCTCTTGAAAACATTGACATAAATAGTCAAAACATGTATTTATATTTGTGCATCATGCTACAATGGCAATGCGCGCCATCTTTTCTTTTGACTACTTATTGACTAGAAAATAGCTACCAATAGTTTCTCTGATCTAATTGTGTTTTGACATTTCCATTGTCCTATTCCAAAAAATAGAAAAAGAGTATATTGAGCAAACACAATATGTAAAGAATATTTGCAACATTTAATTTGTCAAGATGTGTTAACTATTCATATGTTTATATCATGAAAATTGCTGCAATATTTTGTCTTTTTCTTTCTAGATTTTTTTTTCAGTTAAACATTTTCTAGTGATATTTTTTTTAATATCTTTTACAATTGATCAAAATATGGCAAAGTATGAAATTTTATTTCTTTCATAATGTGGTTTTACCAGTTTTTATTAATGTCTTTAGATTTATTTGTGTAATGGAGGAAAATAAACCTGCTTCTCAATTATTTTTGCCAATTACTGATGATTATTCAATTTCAACGGGATCGATAAATACATATTTTCCTAATGTATCACGTTTAAAGTATAAAACTCCATATTCAGATATATATTATGTGTTAGTGTTTTTTATTTTAATAGTTTTACTGTCTCATCAAGTCTGTTAATCTTTTTCAGTGTTGATATTGATGTTGAACATGGAAAATTTATAATTGGAGAAGAAAATTTTAAATTGAATTATGTCTATGTTGTTCATCGTATAAATAGTAAGTTACTGTAGTAAATATGAACGATCTGAAGATATATATCTTCTATTAATCAAGAGAGAAACAGGATGTTGTCTTCTTTAACCATTCTCAGAATATTAATAAGATTCTCATTGTACTTCCAGTGATGCGGAACTGTGGAAAATCGTCATTTTCTCCTTAAGCTACTTCTTATTAAGATAAATAGAGATGATTGTAAAACTGTTCAGAAAAAGTTCAGCAATTAAAAATCTAATAGTGCTGAAGACTTTAACATGGAAAATTCAAGGCTGTCTAGAAAATATCTCAACGTACTGAAATATCAGTTTTTTTGAAAAATATTTCCGGAAAAATAAGTCTAGTTTTCGAAATCACTAGTCAAGAAAGCAGAAGTTTACTTTTTCTTATGACCATTTCTGTGGAGAATATGTTTCACTGAGGATGTTTTCAGACTCTGTGTTCATGTTAAGATGCGTACCAGAATTTACAATAAAATCTAAAAAATTTTGAAAACGATTAATCTTGAGATTTGTTGATTTCAAAACAAATTTTGATAATTTTTATAGCTAATACTGATCAAACAACAACTACACAAATACCTGATCGTAATGATACACCACCAATACGACCACGAAGACGTTGTACTGCTTATTTGAAATTGTTAGCTTGTAAGTGACTTTATTTATCTAACTTCATTTTTTTCAAGAAGGATTAACTGATTGATTCTGTCACTGTGCACATGACGTGACAATTGTTGATATTACAGGGTTGTGCATAACCTTTTTCCAGGGGGGTAACACTATGATTCTAAGTCATATACCTATTGAATTTTATACCAAATGAAAGCCCGTGAAAAACTGGATTTAG